CGCTGGACTGCGCGGGTGAAAATGCCAAATTAGATTTTCCTGGACGCATACGGACGGTGGCACTGGGGCTTTGGGCGGAGCCCCCTATGGGGCCACGAAACGCTGCACTGGGTGTGCGGGACGCATGCGGACGGTAGCACTGGGACCTTCGGTGGGGCTCCCTATGGGGCCACGAAACGCTGCACTGGGCGGTGAAACGCAAGGGAGAGGGGGAGGAGGGCCACGAACCGCTGTACTGGGTGCGCGGGACGCATGCGGACGGTAGCACTGGGACCTTTGGCGGGGCTTCCTATGGGGCCACAGAACGCTGCACTGGGCCTGCGGGACGCATGCGGACGGTAGCACTGGGACCTTGAAAGAAGCTCCCTATGGGGCCACGAAACGCTGTACTGGGTGTGCGGGACGCATGCGGACGGTAGCGCTGGGACCTGGTGGAGCTCCCTATGGGGCCACGAAATGCTGTACTGGGCGTGCGGCACGCACGCGGACGGTACCACTGGGACCTTCGGGAGCTCCCTACGGGGCCACGAAACGGCGCACTGGGTGTGCGGGACGCCGGCGGACGGTAGCACTGGGACCTTCGGTGGGGCCCGCTATGGGGCCACGAAACGCAGTACTGGGCGTGCGGGACGCACGCGGACGGTAGGGAGGATGGGGGGGGGCCCGAAAGGGAAAGAAAGCGGGACCGTCTCTTGAAAACGAGGACCCAACACCACGGGATGGCGGGGAATACAGAATGTAAAAGTAATACTGCAGCTACGGACCTGAAAAGTTCACGGGCAGACGCGGCACAATTTTACAGGTGCGAAAAATGCGGGTCCTTAAAACGAATGGTCAAATCTCTTACAATTTTCGAAACACCGACGCCAGGTCACCACATTGTCCGCCCGGGCCGGTTTGGCCATCTGGGGGCCAGCAGTAAACCGTTAACCAGATGTTTGTTGCGTCTTTGCTGGGACCATCTTGGCCACTGAGGCCAGGTCCAACGAAGTCTCAGGCGAAGCGAAGCCTCCTATATGTCACGCAAGCAGTCAGCTCTTATTTCACATCAGCGAAGCTGTTGAAATAAAGAGGATCCAAAGCACGCAATGACAACAATCAAACGCAGAAGCACACTGAAGAAATACAAAGATCAAACAATACAGCGAAGCTGTTAGAATATACAAAGAGATATATGAAAGCAATCAGACAAGTGTGACTGAAACATGCGAATGATCAAAGAAGTTCTGCACAAGCTGTGGGAGCACATCACAGGTGCGCTCCGCCGCTGATAACCCAGTATCTGTCACCGTGGCACTTGGTGGTAGACACCATGCTCCGAGATACACATCCTTGTAGGTGATGTCAGTCCGCGAGAAGATGTACTTATTTCGCAGACCGATCTGTATCCACACGCCACAGGCACTTCCGCGGCTGCACACACCCCCATCAAAGCCAGCTTTGATAAGGCAAGGAGTAAAACACCGAGATTCGAAACCACTGAGGTAAAAGAAATCGGCGTACACTTGGCCCTGGCGGGCCTGATGAGTCAGTACGTCAGCCCTTTGGTTCCATTCACGAAAGGAATGAGAAAAGAAGTCTCGGCCAGCCTCTGGAGGCCTCACCGAATACATACTCTGCATGCCGTCCAGAGTATTTATCAGAATATCTACCCGTCTTTGATACACCTGAGATAGTACTTTCCATTTCCCGCACAACCAGTTCATCACTAATAGGGAGTCCCCCTGGATGTCTAGTGGTATTCCTCCCGTTTCAAGGTCCCTTCGTGTACAACGCATGTTATGCAACGCAATGCGTCTGCTAAGTCGCTCCTTATATGCAAGTGTGTCCTCCCGATCCTGTCCGATATGAACTCATCCATCCTCATCAGCGTTCAAGAATACAGGCACCCCCGAGGACGCCAAGCCTTTGCATTTCTCCTGGAAATGCTTCAACATACTATCAGAACATACATGTGCGGCGTAGTCCATGAAGTGTTCAAAGCTCCCGACGAACGATCACCACCGGGAGAGACCGTAAAACGATTCCAAAGAGTAATACCACGAACGAAGACCGACACTCTCCTGTCCCCCGCGATGTCGTTTTAATGAGCTGGCCTCCTTCCATTTCCCCCAACATTTGAGAGCCTCGCTTGAATCAGTTCTCGTTCTATCCCACAGCTGGCCAAACGCCAGGCATGAGAAACGAGAATCTCTCCACGCTCGTGTCGAATTTGATTCAAGCGCCTCCAAATCCGTGGGCAACTTTTGGGCAAAATCGGCCACGTCGATAGCCCGCGCACACGGAGGAACTTCTGCACGATACTCGCATACTGTGCATCATGAAACTTCTGCCTTGCCCTTTCATACCTCCTCGCATTCCACTCCCGATAACTTTCCTCCTCCCTCCGTACACAACGACACATGACAGCCAAACAGTTACGTTCAAAGATATGAAAAGCTCCCAAGGAATAAGAATCAACAGTAAAACCTTCTGCAACAGATAGCAGGATACTCTGAAC